GTACCGATCAAAAGAATTTTAATCGATCAAAAAAATTAACAATTAATCGAGGAATTAATCGTTAATTTCCGCAGCCCTACTTTTTTTTATATAAAATAATGGCGCTATGCCTTTATGGAGGTATGTGTGTTATAGGGTTGTTTAATGTACACAGAGTAATTCTAGGGAGAACTTTAACGTTGTTGTTATGTGTGCTGTAAGGAGGACTAATACAAAGTAAAAACAATAGATCACCAATACACACTTCACACCCTTATACCAGTGTTCATGTGGTTTTATGAGTTCGTACCTTAGAGCACCTAGAAAGTCCTCTGCGGATATTGGGTTCAGTCGGCAGATGGTACTTCAAACATACCATGCATCAGGGAGATGGTACATACCTACAGCCATGCTAGGTGAGCTTTATGTGTCCATGTATCTGAAGAAGGGGAATTGCACCCCTGAAATATAACATCTGTGCTCCTCACTCTTAAACCAAGCACACCCTACCTTTTGTGGGTACTACAATACCTTAACATTCCCCTAGAGCTACTGATTGTTGGCCTAGATAAATCTGCTCTTAGCAAAGGTGTATGTTATTTGCATTTGATTCTGTTGGAAGACAAAGAACTCCACCCAGACTTTTGTTACGTTCTTTTATTATAGTAATGACTTGTAAACAGAGACTAGCAGCTATTTCCCCTTCCCTTCTTTACATATACAAAATAGTCATATCCCTGTGCTTTCAGTCACAACAGGATTCAGAGTTGTTTTGTATATGTAAAAATACTGTTGCCTTTACTATAACTACATTTTTAAAAATTTAGAGGGGGTTTGCATTACCCAAAGTGCAGATTAAAGGTGCACATAGACATGATATGACTGTTGTCCAATACAGTTGGTCTTTTGTATGTGGGTGATGCCTATGTCAGCTGGCCATCCATTGTCTAGGGAAATAGTTTATTAGATTGGTTATAAAAACTGTCATGATCACTATCGTTTTTGTCTCCCCACCCCTCCACTCCAACCCTCTCCATAGTTTAACTGAGTTTAACTGCACAGCCAAGTTCACAAGTCTGCATGATTGTCTTCTGCCCCTGTTGTCCCTAGCAGTTGGATTGTGGCTGTTCGTCTGTGATAAATTGTCCCAAAGTATTTAAGCGGTGAGCCAAAAGTTGCTATAGCTCTGAATGGAAGGTTCCAACTTTTCTGTGTCAGAGAACAGTTAACAACTTCAATGCTATTGTTTTGTCCAGTAACTACTTTTTTGGAGTTGGATACAGGACAATACCATACCCCTCAACTGATCCTCATTCGGACCCAAATCCCTTTGTCCTTTGCTCCTCAGTTGTCCCTCGTTTTGGTCTGATATACAGATATCTATAGAAAAAGGTTGCATGTAACTACTAAAAGTGTCATGTTGCACTAAATCCTTCATCTTATCTCTAAATGATCTTGTCTGCTATTTCAAAAAGCCAAAAAATGAAAAGTAATGGTTGAAAAAAACAAAAACAATTCTGGCTTTAACCAATTATTTTTGGCATATAGGGGTGTGTCCATTGCCGAAATACATTGCGCTGGAAGATGTTGCCTTTTTTCTCATCTCAAAAAGTTGCGGGATTTGCAATATAGATGTCTTCATCAAGATGAATAGCACAACTATTGGTTCCTCAACTCATGCCAGGGTGCCATGTGTAATCCTAGACTCTGATATTTCCTTCAGGCCCCACATCCAATCACTGTCTAAAGACTGCCCCCTTAACCTCACAACATTTCCAAAATTCGCCCCTTCTTGGCAAATCACACCACAAAGCTACTAATTGACTCCCTTGTTATCCTTTGCCTTGACTTGCAAATCCCTTCTTGTTGGCCTAACTCTACACAGCCTATACTTCCATCAATCTATCATGAATACTGCTAGACTCATCTCCCTTACCTACCACCGAGTGTCTGCCACCCCCCTCTGCCAATCCCTCCACTGGCTTCCAATAGCCCAATGTATAAAATTCAAAATAATAACAACATACAAAGTCATCCACAACTCTGTCCACAGCTACATCACCAACCTCAAAATATCACCCAAACTGTCCGCTCCACCAAAGACCTCTTGCTCTCTAGTTCCCTTATAAACCCCTCCCATGCTCGCCTCCAGAACTTCTACAAAGTCTCTCCCAAGATCTGAATCTCCCCAACTTGTCCGGCTATCTCCTACTCTGTCTACCTTTAGGTGATACCTAAAAACTAATTTCTTCAGGGAAGCCTAACCCACCTCTTGCTAAAAACAGTACTCATACTTTCTCCATCAGTTTATCCCTCATGAATAATGCCTTTTGTATCACTTGCCCCTCTTTTGAGATTGTAAGCTCTGACCAGCAGAGCCCCCCTAACCCTCTTTATGGAATTATACTGTAACTGTACTGCTCCCTTTATTTTGTTGGGGTTAAATAAACCCTGTATCTTCACCTAAAGTTTACATTTTAATTTTGTGTGGATTCCGGCAAGGTAAATAACATGTTGTTCATATCGTTTGGGGACTCTAGTGGTGAGACATCCCCGCCGGAATTTACATATTCATCCAAATGCCATGACTATTAGAAAGCCAGATGATGGTTTTGTTTCACACTCTTTATTATGTAGATTCCATTACCTGAGGATTCCTGCTGTGAAGAAGTAACACGATGGTTAAGAAGATACAAACTATTCCTGGGAAATGTATTTATTTTATTTATTACAGGTATTTATATAGCACCGACAATTTACGCAGCACTTTACATAGTTGCACATTCACATCAGTCCCTACCCTCAAGGAGCTTACAATCTAAGGTCCCCATCTCACATGCATACATACGAGGGCCAACTTAGAGAGGAGCCAATTAACCTAACTGCTGGCTTTTGTATTCTGATTGGATGCAGTCACTGTACGGTCGAAAAAGTTTCCATTTGACTACATTGGTATTCCAGTTGACTGTAGTGGAGTCGGGTAGTGCTGACAACAATCGGCTGAGATTGGAGCAATGTATGGCAAAGCAAAGACCTTGGGACCTCAAACACTCCTTTGTTTTCAAAAATCATTCTCCGTACTCCCCTCTTTATTATGGGATGGAGGGAAATTAATAGGCACACCACCCAGTATTTTACAGAGTTAGTGCTCATTCACATTAGACATCTGTCTCTAAATGAAGGTAACCACTGGATGAGCAGAACAGCTAGCACAGTGGCTTTAGGGTTGCCACCTGTCCAGGATTCACCTGGACAGTCCAGGTTTCGAATGCTGTGTCTGGGTTTTATGGCAGCAGAAACCTGGACACAAGATGTCAGGCAGACAGGGGCAACCAAAATTAAGATAGGGGCTACTGGCCCCCCACTGAAAATAGTCTCAACTGTGATATTTACATATTAATGGGTGGTGCTATTTACATATGAATAAGCCACAACTCATTCTCCCAAAAAATTATCTCATTGCTAGAGTGTTCGGGTTTCGCTTGAAAAAAAGGTGGCAACCCTAAGTAGCTTAGTGGTTCCTGGTTCAAATCAGAACACCGTCTGTAAGGCGTTTGCATGTTCTTCCTGTGCTAGCCTGTGTTTCCTCCTAGGGTTGTCACATTTTCTTCATGCGAAACCCGAACACTCTAGCAATGAGATAATTTTTTGGGAGAATGAGTTGTGGCTTATTCATATGTAAATAGCACCACCCATTAATATGTAAATATCACAGTTGAGACTATTTTCAGTGGGGGGCCAGTAGCCCCTATCTTAATTTTGGTTGCCCCTGTCTGCCTGACATCTTATGTCTGCGTTTCTGCTGCCATGAAACCCGGACACATCATTCAAAACCCGAACTGTCCGGGTGAATCCTGGACAGGTGGCAACCCTATTTCATCCCAAAATCATGCTGTAAGGTTAATTGGCTCTGTATGTATGTGAGATAGGGACCGTAGATTGTAAGCTCCTTAAGGGCAGCGAATGAATTGAATTTGCACTGCGTAAATTGTCAGTGCTACTTAAATACCAATAATAGAAAAACAGCAGGGAGAGCCGTGTCTCCTGTCAGCCTGTTATTTCTTTGCACAGTCTTCCCAGCCGTACGTGTGAATGAGCCCTAAGAATAAAATAAATAAATAGAAGTTAAAGTAGATCCTAAATGGATGACATTTAGTTTACTAAAGCTATTTGTACATCTTTTCAGCAGATCTCCTGCGATCTCTTTGCAGCCACGTCTTGTCTACATGCATATACTCCAAAGATGGCTGCAAGACATTTCTCAGGGTGGGTTTCCTGCTTGTGACAACAGTGGACAATCCTTGTGTAATGTGTATTTAAATGGCTACTTTTAGTCTCCATCAGAACCCCCTGTTCTGGGTGACAATGCATGAGAACATTTGGGGGAGTGGGGACAGAGATCAGTCATCCTATAACAGGAAGAGCCTGAACAAGGGCTTTCATTGCAGGTATTATTTTCATAAAAGCTGCATTCAAATTGAAATCTATATGAAACTTTAGTGATTGGGTTACATACACTTTTAAGTCTTCTGCTAACCATAAAAGCACAGAATACAATCCTCATATAGAGGTTTATAATTGTAAGATTTTATCTTTCAAATTATTTATTTTTAATAAAATGCAGCATTGTTTTTATGTAAAAGAGACATTACTTTTGTTTCATAATACTTTTTGTGTACAGTGCACCTTCGTGACCACTAGGTGGTGCTGTTGCCTTCACGCCTATGGTGAGTCACACATTCCAGGAACTGACGTTCGCAGGGAGGAGAAGGAGGAACTCCCGTTAAGGAGTTATCTAATGCTCCTCCACCATTGGCTGAAGTATGTAGGAGGGGTGTGGTTAGAGTGCCGCTCTATCACATTGGATAACAGTATGAAGGAGGGGTGTGATTGGGATGCCACTCTATAACATATGAAGGAGGGATGTGATTGGGATGCTCTTCTGTTATTGGATAAAGCAGGCGGGCGGGGTGTGGTTAGAGTGATTCGACATCTATAAATAAGGAAGATCGCGGATCGCTAACACTTCGTCTGCGAAGTTTGCCGAACACAGTGGCGTATTTGTGGAGTATCTGCCGAGTCAGGGTCCCAGACTGACTAAGGAGCGGAAGCCCCTGGGAAGCGAATGAAGAAACACCTTCTACTACTCTTCACATTCAGAGGTCTAGTCAGAAAAGGAAAAAAGAGCAAGAGACGAAAATGGCCAATTTTATCATCCGATCGGCTGTACCCGGAGACTGTAAAGACATATTGCGACTTATAAAGGTGAAGATCGGTCATTGTGGTCGGTGGATTATAGCGAGAGGATGGTTGGGGTTTATCTTCTACATCAGTACTTGCTAAATATAACTAAGTGCCATGTAATTGGCATGTGGAGAGATCATTGAAGGGCATCTATGCAATCTGGAGCAGTTGCCCATAGCAACTAATCTGCTTCTATCTTTTAACCTTCAAAGCTTGACTGAACAAATTGGAGAGAAGCTGATTGGTTGCTCCTCACAACTGCTCCAGATTCTGTCTACTCTAGTGTTACTAAATTCCTCCCATTGTCTTCCTCCCTCTGCATAAGATGGACAAAGATCCCCAATGTGTATTATGTCACACTGCCCCCCCTTTCTGTGCCAGTCATATGTGGGCTGGAGACAAAGCCACCCTTTATCTGCTGGATGGAGCTACACTGACTTTTATACTCTTTGTTTGTAGTTCTTGAGTAATTTTGTTATATGGAAGCTGAGCCTGAATACTGGATGACTTGGCATATTTTATCAGCTAAGAACCTTGTAGCTATGTTGGCTTGTCTAATTTCTTTATGCTCATCTATTTTTTTTTTTATCTGTTTAGGAACTGGCTAAATATGAAGAAATGGAAAACCAAGTAGTGTTAACTGAGAAAGGTATGCTGCTGAAATGTATTTTGTTTTCCTGCATTGTTTTATGGCACCTGTTTTTTATGAATGTTGCTGAACTCTAAGCTGCCTATTTATAGAACAAAATGGCGGACTTGTTTTGCATTTATGAATCCTTTAGAGAAGGGCTGCTTGCCAGCTTGGTGTTCTGAGCATTTTACCGTGCTGCCTAGGTAAACAAGAGGGAGGAAAAATTATGGACACACTTAGTGCTTGGCTAAATAAAACAGACCAAGGGATATTTACTTATGGACTGATTACTTGGTACCCACATAAAGCAGAACCGACCAAGGGAAAATTACTTCTGGACTGATTACTTGGTACCCAGATAAAACAAGAGGGACCAATGGAAAATTACTTCTGGCTTTTTGGACAGACTACTTACCGGCTAGAGAAAGCAGAAGAGGCCAAGGGAAAATTGCTTATGGACAGACTAATTACTGCCATGTAAATACAACATAACAGACCCAAGTGAAGATTACTTATGGACCAACTACTTGGCACTCTGATAAAGCAGAATTGACCAAGGGAAGCTTGCTTATGGACCAGCTACTTGGTAGTCACTGCCCAGGACATTGCCATTCATTTAAAAAACAAAATGAATACAATTTGGGATCAGATTGCTGCTGTCCAGTCACCTTACCCTATTAATGTACCAGACCCACCATCACACTTGTTACTCTCCTCTTTTGACTGTCACCGCAGAGGTTACAAAGCTTTTCCTCACCACTTTCCCCCTGGACCCTGTTCCCTCACCACTAAGTTGGTCACTATTTTTCTATCCTACCTCACATTTTTTATCTTTTTGCCTTGCATCTCTCCCTCCTAAAGCATGTGCTGGTCACCCCAATACCCCAAAAACCCTCACTGGACCCTACAAACCTAAACTATCTCAGACCAATTTCCTTACTCATTCACCTCCTCTCCAAAAAACATTTTATCTACAGCCGTCTGAGCCACCACCTCGCTGATGAACTTCTCGACCCCTTACAGTCCAGCTTTCACTCCCTACACTTCACTGAAACCACCCTCCGAAAACTCAAACTGCTAAAAAAAAAAGCCACTACTTATTCTTGCTATTAAACCTTTCTGCTGCTTTTGACACTGTTGACCACCTGCTGCTCAACAATCTCCACTCGCTTGGCCTACAAGACTGCTCTCTCATGGTTCTCCTACATATCTAAACACTTCTTTGGTGTCACCTACAAATCTAACTCCTCTTTCTGTAGGGGGTCCCCCAAGGCTCTGTCCTTGGACCCCTTCTCTATCTACACCTCCTCCCTTGGTCAGTTAATACCCTTACATGGCTTCCAATACCATCTGTCTGACACTCAAATCTATCTTTCTACTCCAACTCACCCCCTCAGTGTCCTTGCGTGTCACTAATCTGCTAACTGACAAATCTATCTGGATGTTGCAACAATTCATAAAACAACGTTAAAAAAACTGAGCTCATGATATTTCCTCCTGCCCATGCACCTTCCCCCAACATTTCCCTTGAGATCGATAACATTTTTTTAACATCCAATCACTATCCAAATCCTGCCGCCTTCACTTTCCTAACATCTTCAAAATACGCCCCTTCCTTACCAATTAAACCACAAAGATACTCATCCACTCACTTATCTCTCGTCTGCATCCCCTCTGCCAATCCCTGCACTGGCTTCCAATAGCCCAAAGGATAAAATTAAAAAATATTAAGAACCACTTACAAAGCCATCTACAACTCTGCACCTGGCTTTATCTCAAACCCTGTCTCAAAGTATCACCCAAATGTCCCCTCTGCCCTTCCAAAGATCTCATGATTTCCAGCTCAACCCCTCACATGCTCACCTCCACGACTTCTCTAGTCTCTCTCATCCTCTGGAACGGTTTACCCTGACCTGTCTTATCTCCTACTGACTGCCTTTAGGTGATCCCTAAAGACTCGTCTCTTTAGGGACGCCTATCCCACATCAAACTAACCACTGAACCATCATGTTCTTAAGCATTCATCCCCCACACTGCTACCTCCATGTATCGCTTGCCCCTCCCTTTTAGATTGTAAGCAGGGCCCTCCTTACCATCTTGTCTTTTAATTGTAATGTCTTCCTTGTATTGTAAAGTGCTGCACAAACTGTTGGCGCTATATAAATCCTTAATTATTTTATTAATGGTGGCCTACTGGACAGACTGCTTGCTGGGTAGACAAATAAAACAGAACTGAATGACAATGTTAATTGTGGAAATACCATTTGGTAATTTTGTATTTTTTTTCTTATCTAAAGATCTTTTAGAAGATGGCTTTGGAGAACATCCTTTCTACCACTGTCTTGTTGCTGAAGTACCAAAAGAGAACCAGACTATTGATGGTAATGAGATGTTCTTTGTGTCCTTTTAATCCATGTTCCATTGCTAGCCTTGTGGCAATTCTTGTATTGACCCTGTATGTAAGCAGATGCAATATTTGTTAAATCATATTTTCTCTTTAATTTGTCCCCAATCTTCAGGTTACAGTCTCTAGCTTCGCCATGTACATGGATGGCCCTTCCGTGTACATGGGTGGGCGGGGAGGTAACTAAAAGATCCGTTACACAATAACATAGATGAGCATGAAACGAGGTAAGGCCACCAGGGACTTCCATTCAACCATAACCAACAAACACGGTAGATCAGAAACCCATGCAACCCATTCATTCCTTTACCATCTGTCTATTTTTGAGAGCAACCAGTTCCCAACTGTTTTATACCAAAGCTGATCCAGAGATGGCCATGGCCAGAACAGCTCATAACGGCTCTACAACAACTTCCTTGGTGTAGACCTTTTAATCTTCTGGCATTTGAGTACACTATTATTTATTTTTTCCTTTAGGTCAACTGTG